GCCAAGGACAACTTTATGGGTGGCATGGTGAAGGGGAAGAGCGACCCCTACGTGAAGATTCGTGTCGGGGGTATAACCTTCCGCAGCCACACCATCAAAGAGAACCTCAACCCTGTCTGGAACGAACTCTACGAGGTGCTGTCACTTTTAAAAGTTTCACTTAGATATTCTATCCATCTGCTCAGATTATTCGATTACAAATACTTGATTTCTTTTTCCCTGTTTAGGTTATTTTGACCCAACTTCCAGGTCAAGAAATCCAGTTTGAGTTGTTTGATAAGGACATTGATCAGGATGACTTCCTGGGAAGGTGAGTCCTGACGTGAACATTTCTGACTAGTTTGTTTTTAAACCTGCTGAAAAATGAAGGATAAAAATTTTGTGCCTTTTTTTGCAGGTTCAAACTCAGCCTACGAGACATCATCAGCGCACGATACACCGATACGGTGTGTGCCATTATTAAAAAGACGTGACCATATAATACAGCAAATATTTACATTTGTGTTCTTATCATAACTTTCATTTTTTTTGTAATACTTTTGTTTCAGTGGTACACTCTAAATGATGTGAAGTCTGGTCGAGTTCACCTGATGCTGGAGTGGCTGCCGAGGGTCTCCGACCTCTCCAGACTGGAGCAGGTTCAGTATTTCTATTTCCCATTGTCTAATGACTTGGACGCGCCAAGCTAAATACACTTACAGTTAAATAAAATACACAAAAGATTTTGTGCTAGTGCTGCATGAAACATGAACCGCTAGCTTCCTATTTCAAGTGTCTTCCTGAAACGCTCTCTCCTGTCTTTGCCCCTCGTTTCTACAGATCCTGCAGTACCAGTCCCTGCAGTCTTTCCAAAACAAGGTGGTGCCGTCAGCCGCTCTGGTGTTTGTGTACGTGGAGCGTGCCCACGGCCTTCCGGTGAGACCACATCGATGAGTGTTTATGGTCATTTTTTTAACATTTTGCTTCCAATGAGCCAGACTTTCCAATGAGCAATCGTTCTAGAGACTTTCTGGAGGTCTTAAAAAGTTTTTCTTTGGACATTGGCTGTTTCTTTCAGACTTTTTCAGTTTGCTGTGCCTGGTCATTTCAGAAGAATGCATTTTTGTGTTTGTTTAGCCACAAACACTTGTCTATATTTTAAGCATAAAAAAGTACCTATTTCAAGGATGAACCAGTATTTTAAATGGTAAACTGACCGGTGCTTTCATAGCTCTTTTCTACTCTGCCTGTGCACTCAAAGGGCCATATACAACTAGTCTCAGTGACACCCATTCACATGCTTCTTCAAAACCAAGTGCTTTCTCTCTGTCACACACGTTCATAGAGGAAACTGGGGTTAGTATCTTGGCCAAGAATATTTGGCAAGCAGTTGACACCAACGTACCAACTGGTAGGTGACCTGCTCGAACTCCTGAGCTACAGCCCTGCAGTTGTGTCTATACGTACTATAACAGATAACAATTTGCTTTAACAGAACCGACTTTAAATTGTATCTGTGGGAACTATTTGACTCGCACCCCATTTATTTTACTCTAAGAAAAACGGTTATAAGTCATTCCCAAAGAGCTATTAGCTTCACATGGTGGCACGACATCGCCTTAAAAATATCTGAGGAAACTGGACTAGTGGAGGACAAAAGAGGAAGTGGCATGCCACAATCATGCACTGTGTTGCTCAGCAGAGCGGTGCAACAGTGAGTGTCTACAGTTGTCTTTAAAACACAGTGGTGGAATTATGAATGCAGAAATGTACCAACAGAGAACAGAACAAAAGGCAGCCAACATCCAAAGAAGAGCTTTGAACGTCCTTTAAGAAGCCTGGAGAACCATTCCTGCAGTCTGCTTAAAGACATGACAAGAAAGCCTAAGAGTGTTCAAGCTGTGTCACATCAAATATTGACTTTCAAGCTGGTTAGACAGACTACAAACTGTTTCTGTCTCATATTTCCACGCCGATGCTGTTGCTTACAGTTCCTGTAGTGCAGTGTAATCATTTGTTATTTCAGCTGAAGAAGAATGGAAAGGAGCCAAAAGTTGGAGCTGAGATTATCCTTAAAAATGTTTCATACAAAACCAAGGTAGGCTCTTAACTCACTAAAGATGTTCACTGAAAATAAAGGGAAAAAATGGTGTTTCACAAAAGTCACATTTATTGTTTGTTTTTAAGGTCTCTGAGCGCTCCACGTCCCCTCGATGGGATGAAGGCTTTCACTTTTTGATTAGTGACCCCAGAAGTGAAATACTCACAGTCAAGGTGCGAGTCGTTATCTATATTTATCTGAATCATGAGGATGCAAAGTAGATGCATTTGATTCACACCGTTTGTTAGGTCATGTACACCAATAAAAGAAATAGAAAATGTGTGCGTTTATTTATGTCTTTGTTTCCTCGTAGCTTTCCCACAGCTGGGGCCAGGCTCTCGGCTCTTTGACACTTCCTCTGAGGGAGGTGCTGGCTGAGACAGACTTGGTTCTGGACCGCTGGCTCAATCTGGATGGAGCGCTGCCAGAGAGCCAGATACTGTTGATGGTCATACTGAAGGTTCTGCAGACCGGCTGCTTATTTTCACTGTGCTGTAGTAGCTTTTCTTGGAGCAATGCTGTACTGAGTGCTTACTGCCTGTGTGCCACTATCTAAACTACTCCATGATGTTTATTAAGTCATAATTATTGAGTCATGATGTTTATTCAGTGATTATTTTTAATATACCTTGCAGATCCTGGACACTCAGCTGGCAGTGTGTCGTGGGGCTGTAGGGGAGGGAGGTGTCGATTACGTCATCCCTAAATGGGATCCTTCTCACCTGGACCTCAGACACAGACCTGGATTCTCCATGTGA